GTCATCTTCTCTGCACAACGGATATACAGTATGAAAATAAGATTGATTGGATTATACTCACAGGAAGTATAAAACCTGTTACATGCGTCTATTAAAAGTAAAGTAACACAAAAATGTCAGGGAAATTACTTTACTTAGATTTAAGTACTGCAGTTGTACATTTGAAATACCTTCCTACCTTTCTGATAGGAAGCCTTCTTGAGGTGGTATAAAACATTTCTTCTTATATTCTGATTTGAGTTGTGGACAACTATGACCACATGAATTAAAAAAATTAAACATTTCACTGCCCAAGTCAGCTATAACACAAGTCTTGTTCGTCAGACTACATGCTGTACAGTATTTGACTACAGATTTTGTCCCAGGATTTATTATGCATTTCTTCTTCTTCGTTGCATGATTTAGAATAATAAGGTGAGAAATGAGTCTGTTCTGAGTTCTTCCTGCACTGCAGCAGCTAATAAAGTCCATTTAATCCCAAAAACGCTTTTCTTTTAGGCAGGCTGGAGCAGAAAACAACTAACCTTTCTCAAGTTGTACAGTAATGTCTCATGTGTATGAAGGTGGATCAAACAAGCTAATCTTAAATGTCAAAGTAGAGAGGAGCCTAGTAGGCCTATTTATTTTCATTCATTGCATAGCTTATTCATATTGTGTAGACAGTTGTAAAAGAACATCTTTTTCTTCTGTTCTCTACTTGTTATAGTTACACAGTATTAGGGGTGTGGGCTGTATTAAAAGTATCCACTGTTCTCCCATGCTCTAACACACAGTAACGATGAAATGTGTGCTGTTTTCTCATTCTTCCTCTGTATGTACACATAAACAACAAGGCAGGGAAATATAAAAGGAATTTATTTTATTGTTTGGGTACATTATTCAGTGTACATGCTCACATCTGAAACAAACTTTACGTGCTTGATAACTCTCCCACCCCGCAGACATCTACACACCAATACCGATTTATATTCATAGCGGCAAGTGCTATGTAGCTCCACATAGGGGACACAGGATGTGACATAACACCTTCATGCGGCGTCGGAACCGCGTAGGAAATTCACAGCCGCAGCGGCAGAGCTCCAGAATATGCAACTCGGCCGGTTCACGCGCGGACGCGCTACAAGTGCGAGGTCCCGCCCAACGCTGCTTGCAGCTTTAATTTATTTCAAATTTTGTATATTGTGTATGTACTGCATACCAAATACACCTACCATATTTACATAACACCTGCACATAATACTTATTTACTCCTGTATTCTTTGCACTATTGTCTCAATCTGTCTATATTTTTGTTTATAGTGTGTATATGTGTTCTCTATACTGTAGCCTGTGTGTGATTTTTTATTTTTTTTATTGTATAATTGCATTATTATTGTAAGTAAGCACATCGTGAGCAATGTCAAATTCCTCCTATGTGTACACATACTGATTATTCCCCATATCCCAGAATTGAATTTGATTAATGGCATTTTCAATATCAATACAAGTTTCATTTGGGCATCATGTAGTTTTTTGTTCCTTATTTTACATTTATACCTTATGCGTATGGTTTGGTGGACAATGTATTTCATTTGCTATTTTTCTCAAATCTTTTGTGAACCTCTTGCCATGGTCAAACCATTTGTCTGCTTTTTTGCCTTTTAACAGGCTTTAATAGCTGCCTTATTAAATATATTAATATCATCTGTAGCCTTTTTTATACCATCTCTGGTATGGACATATTCATTTTGGTCATATACTGAAATGTCCTTCATCAGATCAGGTGTGTTCAAGGCTATGACGAATCTGTAACTAGGATTAAAAGCATACATCTCACTGGGTTCTCTTTTTGTGTGACTCGTTTGAGATGAGAGTTTTAAGAGCACATTTATTTGGCTTGATGTCTGATAGTGAATACACTGACAGTGGAGGGGTCCATGTAGCTCCAAAATACAGCCCATCTAAAGTTAAGACACCATGCAGACTGGAAAAATTCCAGATTTTTGTCCATCAAAGGCTGCTCATCCCCCTCTAGCTAATGCCGTCATTCCTCCAGAGTAAACATGACCATCAGAAGCTCCCGGTTCTCCACATCATTGTTTGTTGCTGCAGAAGTGAGACTTGTGTGAGAAAAGCACATGGGTGCAACTTATAAACTTAAGGGGAACACTGGAAGAGAACTGCCTAACACCCACACCTGACACGTCCACTTCCACCACAAGCTGTCTGGATGGGTCCGGTTGAATAAGGCCGAGATGAACTCGTTCTTCAGGTCCTGGAAGGTCGTTGGCAACTCAGGTGTCCACGAAACTGTTTAGTGGAAGTGAGATGGGTTAACGGGGCAGCCATACAGCTGTAGTTTCAGATCAATTGTCTATAAAAACTTGCTTTCCTGTTTTCTGTTCTCGGCCTCGACCATTCCAGGATCACCCCCATTTTGGCTGGGTCCATTGTTACCTGTCCCTTGGCAATCATGTAACTGAGGAAGGAAACACTTGAGGGATGGAATTCGCATTTCTCAGCTTCACAAATAGATGATTCTTCTGGAGCCGCTGTAGCACTTGGCAGAGGTGCCAAACGGATCTCAACCTGCAGACACTGAAGTCCCCTATAGGGGCCATTGCCCCAGCCGGTGATACTAGTTCATGAATAACAGTGGCAGCAGTCTGCGTTTGTGGTGTGTATTTCCTGAGGCAGATAATATTGCCTTAGACTGAGCGCCAGTAGTTCCGTTTCCTTTGTACAGACCTGGGACCTCATATATAAACGCTGCCTATGCACAAAAAGGTTACGTCCGCTGATTTTCATGCTTATGTGTGATGTGTAAAAATGAGTGTATCCTCTGCAAACTTTTGTTCGGCTCTGTCAGTAAACTTAAAGTACCAAAACTCACCAAATGTTTCAATATAGCACTTCCACTCCAATTACTGTGTATATGTCAATGAAATAGTCTATGAAAAACCTAATTATGTCCATTGATAAGTTTGATTATGTATGTGAATGTTTAATATCAAAACAAAATTGAATGTGGGAGGTATAGATTATGATGCCTCTCACATATTTAATTTTACTTCATGTCACATGTTATCATTTTATAATTGAAATTCATGGCTGCGCAATTGCATTGGAGAGGACAACGTGAATGGAAGGATTAGAGAGTGTCCATAAAGATTTCCTGGCCCATGATGATGACTGGCTAATACTTCAATTTAGATTCCCTAGAGTTTTGCTCTTGGAGGCAATTTCACTGTAGCACATTGACTGTGAGAGATTTGTATTGTAGACTGAAAGTTTTGCACAATTTTGTCAATATAATATTATTTTATTTTAATTTTGTTGGTACTTTATATTGAAACTGTATTTTTGAATGTGTATTGTTTTCTTTTGTATGTAGCTTACTTTAGGAGGTAGTTTCTTTTTGAGGACTTACAGAAACTATCTGTAAGAATTAGACATCTGTCAAATTCATACTCTAAACAAACTCGGGGCAGCATATCACCATAAAGCTGGGGTGTTCAACCGTATCATAAAAAAGAAGGAAATGCGTAGTCCCTCCCACAGGTCTTTCTTTCAACAATCAGCTAACTTAGCAAACATATAGCTCTGACAGTACAAACATCTACATAGAAGAAGTATAAAGCAGAGCCCTGCAGCGTATCCATAATCTTGATAACGACCCCACAGAGGGCACAAATGGCTGGGATTCCCTGCCAGTCAATCAGGGGTGCGTTTTCCGTACAACCATGGAAGGTAGCGTTGGAACTATCTTGGTACGATGCATCGTTAAACTAAGAACATCTGAAGTACGACCATTTCCCAAAACCACAGGTCAGAAGCTGTAGTTCGAACTATGAAACTTAACGACAGTGGTCAAGAACAGTCGTCAAAACGAAGGTTTCAGGGAACACCTGCGTCGCGTTACGATGGTTCATACCATGTAAATGACCAACTTAGTTACCTCCATAGTTCGAACTAGGGTTTTGGGAAACAGTTGCATGTTGTTGTCGCAAGCTGTTTTAACTGTACAGGGGTATGTTGAAGGAGTCCTGTACTAACATTGATGATATTACAGATGCTGTCAGCTGTTACGTTTCCTACTGTCTGGATAATGTAATCCCTGAGAAGATTGTGAAGGTGTACCCAAATAGTAATCTTTCCTTACACAAACAGATTCTACTTGACCCACTACAGTTTGGTTACAGGGCTGAGCGAGTGGTAGATGATGCAACTGTTACTCTGCTAAACTTGTTTAAACACCTTGAAGGTAGTAAAATACATGCAAGGATTTTATTTATTGATGTTTCATCTGCTTTTCAGACAATTCAACCACACATTTTAGTTCACAAGCTCTTAAACTTTGACCTTGATATTAATATAGTGGGCTGGATTATCTGTACAAACATTTTCTCTGATTTGCTGTTGTGGCAATCTCGTTGTCAAGGCCAAAACTGCTTCCAAAATAGTGAAAGTCAGCTGTAAAATCCTAGTTGTCCAGCAAAGAAACCACGAAGTTGCTGAGCTTGGCTAACTATGTCGATTTACATATCCATGTTGTATTAAGGTTGTTGTCATGTTGATTGTGTAACTGATGTCCCTTTATTTTGTGCATTTTCTTCTTGCAAGCATTTTCTTCCTATAAATACACTGTTACCCGGAGTCCAAAACATTTAGTATATTTTGTTTTTTATAGCATTGTATTTATGTCTGTGATATCTCTGCAACACAATACATAGACATCTTTGTCATAACTGTTAGTTACATTCTGTTGATAAACTATAATTCTACACATACTTTAAAGAATAAAGTTTGGAAGCTTTATAGAATATTTGTATTGTGGCACTCTGTGGTGATGTGATTGGTAGGTCAGTTTGAAACACCCAAATTGGATGCCGAGACGTTTCCAGAATTGATCATGTCTGATATGCATGTTATCTATCAGGATGTGTAACTAAATCTGCCCAGTGCTTTTCATTGCTTCATGTAGACTTGTAAACCTTTTTTTGTCTCCTTTTGTCCTCCAGGGTATGGTAACATTGCCCCGAGCACTGAGGGAGGGAAGATTTTCTGCATTCTGTATGCAATATTTGGTATCCCTTTGTTTGGATTCCTCCTGGCAGGTGTTGGGGACCAGCTAGGTACCATATTTGTCAAAAGCATTGCCAAGGTGGAGAAGATGTTCCGGGTGAGTCACAATGTAAATATCCTATTATCTATGATATTTCTTTGATTCTGGATTTCGGGTAACTTCTGTTCTGTCAACATATCAAAGGGCAAAATTTCTGAAAAAATGCCGTAAGGAGAGAACTGGTGTTGGTGGACTGATTTTTTTGTGTAGTGATGTTAAGCACTGTAACATCCATCTATCCTGTAGTCTCACATTCAGTTCTTCAGGCAATTCTAATTATCTGCCTTGTAGAAATTTCTTTGTCTGTCAATATTAGCTCATCCTCCTCAAGCCGCAACCTTCCGGTCTCCTGTCTGAAGCCAAACCAAAAGTGCCTAAAACTGCAATTCATCGAGTGGCCACTTGAGGCTGGCTCCAAAAGGGAGTCAATCTCCATTGACCACCATGTTAAATCAGAATCAGAATCACAAATACTTTATTTATCCCCAAGGGGAAATTCTTGTGTTACGGTTGCACACATTACACATCAAGGAGAAGAAATAATAATAGAAGTTGGTAGCTAAAGAAATATATAAATATAAAGTATAAATAGAGAATAGAAAAAATATATATAAAATAAAGATGCTAACAGCGATTTGCAGGTTCAAACCTTTTTTCCACAATATCAATACAATAATTTCCCACATAAAACATATCCTGCAACTTTTGTAACAACTGGACAACCATTTTCTCATCAATAGCTTGATTTGTATCATTCCACATCCAGTTACGGCCAATGCATTTAAAGCGCCACCTAGTGGTTGATTTGAATGAAACTTTCAAGGCATATTTCCGGCACTCATGTGGACATATCGTGTGAGTTTTGTGATGATTGGACCAACGGTTGTGGATCTTTGTCTATTTATGTCCTGCACCACGCCCCTTTACACGTTTATTGGTCAATATCTTGAAAACGAAAGGAGCTATCAACAAGCTTTATACAACTTTATATATGTTAAGTCCATTGATGAACCAGAGAAAATTTGGTGGCTACGGTGTAGGAGTAGATGTAAAAAAAGTGTTTGCATTATGGCAAGCGGCCATAAAAATCTTGTTTTAATGTGTTATGTATGAGTATGTGTTGGGTAATTTTTCTTCACATACGCTAGTTGACCTTTTCCTTAAAAAATAAATACAGCTTTTATTTGTAGGAGAGCACTGACTGCAAAGAACAAAACATTTACTGGGAACAAGCCCACTCAAGATTACAGACATCACAGAGCATAAATATTTTTCTTTCATACTAGACTATATAATAATTTAATTGAAATATACACTGTGTGTGTATATACTAGTATTATTAACCATACTATTTCATTAAAATGGTTTCAAAATATAGATGCCAGTAAAACTACAATACAATACTCTCTCTTGCTACTATGTTTCTAACATGTCAACAAACAGCATGGCTCCACAAAACACTGAGAGAGAGAGTGAGAGAGAGAGAGAGTGTTCATTTACACTCCCGTCTCCGTACCTTTCATAAAGCGCAGCCAGCCGCCTTATTGGCGGAATAATCACGGCTAATAAAGCAGCACGAAAGCGGCTACATGACAACAACCACAATCCTTAGCCTGAGGCCTGTACCATGAAGCAGGATTTGAGCTTATCCAGGTAACTTCAGGGCTAACCCTGGGTTGTCAGTACCACGAACGCGGTTCACTTCTTACCAGGATAGATCTCCATGGTAACTTATGCTGAATGGCTAACCTGCTCCGTAGCAGGTTAGGTTCCAGAAAAGAGATTAACTAAATAAAAGATAAAAGAATATAAAATAAAACGCTGCCTACTGACCAATCAGCTTTCTTGAAAAATGACATCACCATCTTTAGGAAATCCCACGTACTGTTTTAGCCAATAGGCTGCTTTATGTTTGCTGCAGTGATGTGGAGAAACTCTTGTCTATAGCGATGTAATCCCACAGAGACTGATTAAAAGCCTTAGGCTATTGTTGCCTACAGGTTTTTACAGCAGGATAAGCCTACTTACTGCTTTGAAATGTTTTTAATAAATGTGTTTTTATTTGCTCCCAGTCCGTTTCACACAGCCTGACAAAGCCATTAAAATAAATGGGTTTTATTTGTCTTATGGGAGGCTGAATATTATGAGCAGTTTGGTAGGGATATTGAAATACTAAATTTTAATATGAACGTAGGCTATCTATTTTAGGTTAGTATAGCTTTCTTATAGGCCTACTACAGAGACTGTAGTCATGTCCCACCTTTTGCGCCCACATCGCAAATGGTGAGACAGTGAGTTTCCAGTCACCTAAATGTTGAGATTCAGTCTTTCAGCCACTATTTGCGCACATTTTATGGCATGAATGGAGTTTCCGTTTCATTGCTTTATGAAGTTAATTTAGAACAATGTTTGGAACACTTTTGAGTGTGTTAAATAAATTAATCTCATTTTTGAAGTGACGACAAGTTTTTTAAATTGAGGTGGAACGACCCATGTCTTTTAATGTGCAAACGCAGCCAAGCTGAAAGAATAAGGCTGAGGATATTTTCATACAGCTTATAAGAACACATCAAATCAACGCAATATTATAGACTACGCCTGTTCATTAAGACATTCAGACTGTCAGCGTATTTCTGTCTCCCTGCATTTGTCAGATGCAAGCGTGCTACTGTCGTAGCCTATAGTGTTACAGTTTAGTCCTCGTTCATAAAATATAACGCTCTGCTGCCAGTAGACTTGTTCATGTCTGTGAAACACCGCCTCTTTTATGTAATTGCGCTCCCAGCTGAATTGGGAAACCCTCGGTTGACTTACCAGCTTTGTGGTGCCGCTTATCCCGATTGTGATTGTTAGGGTTAGTTAAGCCAGATAACTAAAACATATCCTTGGTATGTTGAACTTGCTTCGTGGTACAGGCCCCTGGTATCTACTGATCCAGCACAACAGTTTGTCCCATACACGGAGCAGCACCACATATTCAGGATGATAAACGATGCTTCACTCACCAAAGTAGGCTCACTTCAGGAGAAAGGCGGAACGGCGGCTTTTCCTCTGGGCAAACTTCTGGAGGACTGAAGTTTGCCCGCAGACTCGTTGCAGCCCCGCAGTGTTGTTTAACATTTTACACGGAGTTTAATAAACATTACGATCCGACCGTCACTGAGCTCGTAGCTGTTTCCTCCACCTGTTTGTTGGGCAGCCATGTTTAACCCTTTAAAATAAGCTCAGTTTCACAGCATCGTCCAGCTCCCGCTGGTGTCATGTTTTGCAATCCTCTCAGAAAGATGAAGATGAAGACAGGTACAGGATGGTCTCCCTCAAAGCCAGAGGTGCTTATCAGACACGGCGCTGTCAGTGGGTCAGTGTCCGTTTAACCTTAGCTTGCTGTTAGCGATGTTGCTAACCTGTTGCTATCTGCAGACTAGTACGGCTCATACACACAGTACAATACACAAAACTGTGTAGCAGTGTGACAAACTTATTATAAACTAACCAGGCTACTGACTGTCTGTATATTCATTAAATTACACCTTTCTGTCAGCTGCAGCTTGTGGCTAAGTTACCTCCAGAGAAATACTCGTAACACCACTCCACTCTGCCTGTTAGGCCCATCCCTTAACCAATCACAAGTTTAGAAAGGTGACAGGCATCTACATAAACAAACGGAGGCCTGTCTTAAAAAAAAAACATCATAGTCCGTCACAGCTCAGGGTCAGAGGTTACCCTCTTAAAGTGACAGAGCCTAATATGACAACACCTATACGCTGCTAAGCACCTTTTAACTCAAACCCAGGAGTGACATAATATCAGAATCAGCTTTATTTGACAGGTATGTGTGCACATATGAGGAATTTGACTCTGGATTGTACATTGCTCACCATGCACTTACTTATACAATAATACAATAATAAAATCAAACACAGGCTACAGTATAGAGACACATATAAACAACAACAGTATAGACAGACTGAGACAATAGTGCAATGAGCAGAGTGCAAAGGATGCAGGAGTAAATTATTATTACCATTATTATGTACATGTTGGAGGTGGATGTGATATACAGGTACACATACATGAATACATGTACACAGTGCGATGGAGCATAGTGCAAAGGATACTGGAATTAATAAGTATTATGTGCAGGTGTTATGTACTTGAGGTAGATGGGTTTGGTAAACATTATCTACAGTATGACAATATAACAGTATGAACAGTGTGACCAGCACTGAGATAGAGAATGATGAATAAATAATAATTGGTAACCAGTAAACAGGTGACTGATTAGAGACAGAGGGGGGGGGGGCTCCTCCTGAAGGCCATCTCCACAGTTTTGAGCGCGTCAAGCTCTAGGTTGTTGTGACCGCATCAGAGAGCCAGCTGATCAACCTCCTGTCTGTCGGCCGACTCATCACCGTCCCGGATGAGCCCGATGACCTTTGTGTCGTCAGCGAACTTCAGGAGTTTGACAGATAGGTCTCCTGAGGTGCAGTCGTTGGTGTAGAGGGAGAAGAGCAGTGGGGAGAGCACACACCAGGATGATTGTGGAGTGTTTGAAGCAGAAGGGAACTTCACACAGCTCCAGTGATCTGTTGAAAGATCTGTGTGAAAATGGGGGCCAGCTGGTCTACACAGATTTTCAGGCAGGATGGAGACACACCGTCTGGCCCATGTGCAGTATAAAGCATTTTATGCATATGCTCCTCACCGGGGGGCAGCACCACTGGATGGGACAAACATTTTCTGATCAATAGCTTCATTTTGTGCATTTATAGCGCCTCCTAGTGTTCAATTTGAATTAAACTTTCAGGGCATGTTTCAGTTACTTATGAGGACATATCCTGAGAGATTTGCGATGATTGGAGAATGAATATGGGATTTATAGTGTAGTTTGTGTAATGTTAAGCACCTTTCTTGCGTTTATAGCGCTCCCTAGTAACTTATGTACATCAAACTGTCCAGGTATATCTGGGGTACTTATCTGAACATATCCTGTGAGTTTTGTGATGATTGGCCCTACGGTTGCTGATTTGTGGTCATTTATATCCAGAGCCACGCCC